GTAAGATGTCGGCACATTTTAGAACTCTACGAGACATTTCTATTATTTCCGTCTAGTTTTGATTTTGTGTCTAATTCATCTTTTGCAACAAGTGATACATAAATTGCTCGATCAATATGGATCCGCTTGGTGCATTTCGGAATAAAATGTAATCTCAAGATTTTCGATTTTTTAACTAAAGCTTCTTCCGATATATATGTAATATTAACAATGATTTTTCTAGAAATTCAAATATTCCTCTTTCATCATGATCGTATAAAATTCCTCGTACGAAAGTTTCCAGAAACACATGTGATATACTACAAATTGTACATGACAGGTGGGCGTCGTATTAGAGGTCCTCGGAAGAATTTTTATATTTGTAAATTTTGGAATGCATGATGCAGGTTGTATAATAGTATAATACAAGACCAAGTATTTTTGTATTTAACGAAGGTCTCGTAAAAACATATTAAATGTTTGGTTGGAACTATGTTTTATTAAAGTAGATTTTATTAAAGATGTATTATTAGCTTAATGTATTTATTATTTATTCAGTTTTTTCATTGAAGTATTTAAAAAAAATTATTTTTATTTTCTAATGTACATTATATGTTATAAATTATAGATTTGGATGAATCAAGTTGAAGATTAAATTTGAAAAACGTCGACAATAAATCAGACAGTTTCATTAATTTCAATACTCGTTTACGATATTCAAACATAAATATTCTTAGGATTTAATTATAATTTGACTGTAGTACTTATACATATGACAATATTTTCGAACGCAATAATAATTTAATTTTTTATAATATGTAACTTCTTATAATGAAAAAGCTTTCTCAAAAGATAATTTTCTTTATATTAATGCAATTATAATCTCAATTAAGAAGATTTTTAATTTACATTTACTTGAGCAGAATATTTCTTAAAGCTCTTAAAAATTATTTTCACACGTTGTCCGAGTATAAAAATTTATCGATGCAAGATTTTGCAACGCTATTAGATTATATCAATTTATATACTTTATGAAATAATTTCAATGCAATTTCAACTTAAAAATGCAAGTTCTGCGCTGCTTGTAATTTTTGTTCTTCCTTAGCATAATCGAGACGAAATTCTGCTTGTATCGCGGCAAGCAAAAATAAGAAAAAACTTCATTCGGATTCGAGCTTTCGAGATGCATTTACCATACAAGAATAAGAAACATCGGGAAACATCTCTCTATAATGGCAAATCGTAACATAATAACGAGGCCTAATATGACTACTTAATCCGACCGTTCCACTTCATCATGTTTAGCCCCAAACTGTTTTTACGAAGTTTACAGTTACGCGCAATCTCAAAGCAAACTAAGGCTCGAATGAAATTTCTTCGAAACACGTGGACAAGCGTGAAAATCGTTCGAATTGATACGTTTGGCCAGCCTCCCGACTCGCCGACATCAACATAAAGGCAAAAGTGATGAGAGCGATATGGATGGCCCGTAGGTATCAAGGAGCACGCGGCGCGGGCAAAAGGAGGCGGAAAAACTTTCGGCCCCGAGAGCTGCTCGCTCGCGTGCATTCGTGTGGGTAAGTTCCGGCGAATCCAGCCCGATATTGCTGTATCGGGGCGTGGTTCCCAAGGGCCATTGTCCCGAGCCTTTGACTCACGATTCCCCGCACTCCAGCTCGAGAGAGACGTATAAGTCGTCGTCGCACGTCATTCTTCCGAAAAGCTCCCATACACAGAGGTACAATGTGCTTTTAGCACTCGTTGATGTACGCGGACATTGTTACGGGGATTTACGGTCATGTTTGATCTTCTCGTTGCCCTTTGTCGGATTGGTTCGATGCTCTTTTGTGGGTGCGGGATTGTGGATTTTAATTGAATCCGCGGGGGATGCTGATGGGATTCAACGCGGGATATCGGGACGAGCAGGCGGCTTTTTGTCATTGCCTGTTTGGGCGATTTGATGGATAAACGTCGCTGGGTTTTAGATTTCTCTGAAACGTCGGCATAAAGTAGGGAGCCGTTTTGGTTGGGGTAGCAACCGATTTCTTCGGATAATCATATCGTTTGAGAAAACGCGGTTGATCGAGGTAAGTTATTTTACGATCATATTTGAAAATTTAATTTTGAAGAAACACGTAGAACTTGAGTCTTATCAAGCATATCTGATATATTTTATTTAGCATTCTTTTGTCGTGATAGCAGCTCTATATATGCAGCGGCCGCCTGGCAAACGAAATCCGTCGCACGTAATCGGAAACAAATATCAATAAATAATTAATAAGTAAATTGCAGGCAAAATCTATACGTGTTATTAAAAAGTCATTATTTAATTGGAGTATGCTTTATTGAAAAAGGGATTTTTATTAATTTAAATTTAATTTCTTTATTAGAAAATTATATATTATTTTAATATAAACGATAAATAAAAAAATAATAATAAAAATGCTTAAATTTCAATGGTACATGTTGTTTGAAAAAGAATATGTACATTTTTGTTCAGCTGTATTCACTCGTCTTAAGTACAATTATGTATTCCTTAGCAATATAATTTATTATAATACTATGACTAATTGATTATATATCATTTATTGCTAGTGTCATTATAGTTGTTCTATATACAATTAATAATTCATTCTCTAATATTCTTCCAATGCGATCTTATCATTAATCAATTATGCATTTGTGGCTACACTACAAATATCGACAGTTTTTTTTTTTTTTTTTTTTTGCAATATCTCAGAACAATAGGCTATTGATAATTAGGCAATTCATTTATGAGATCAAAATAAAATAAGAATATGAGAATCTGTAAAACAAAGGAAAAAAAAACAAATAAGCAAGAAATAAATATGAAAAATTTTTATATTATATGTAATTAATTTTAAATATAAACGATTATAAATAGTATTAAAACGAGTTCCGTATTGTATATTAACTATAGTATAAGAGTATCATCATATCATATATAAATAAATTATTAAATTATATATATAGTTTTTAAAATGACTTTATATAAAAATAATAGATACAATAAATTACTTATGCTATTACAAAATATGACATGTATTACAATGTAAATAATATTTTTGTTTTTACAAGCAATAATAACTGTTTTTAAATATGAAATATATATATTTTTTATATTATAATTCAATATTTTATTAATAATTTACTATAAAATTATTAAATTTTTATAGTATTATTATATAGTCAATATTAAAAATTTAGATTTGAAAGAATTATCTTATTTCATACACATTACAGGCACAAAATGTCAAACGTATGTTCAGATAAATTATTCAATATTAAATTATTTTTCCTATTGGAATTTAAATTGATTAAAATAATCCAATCAAGTTTTTTTTTATATTATAAAGAAAATTTATCCAAAAAAATTTTCATCTCTCATTTAAGTGTAGGAACTATAAAACTTTTAACATATCATCAATTATAATAAATACATTTTATAAAAAATTATAATACAATTTAAAATTCAATTATAAAAGCCCTAATTTACTATTTTCACAATATAAATATATTACAAAATTGATTAATTAATATGTCATTTTTAGAAATGTTAATAAAACTGATCATCATCGAATAATTATTTGAATTAACAAATAAAAATAAGTACATATTTACTTCCTTTTTACAAAACAAAATTATATATCGATTTATAGTATTCAATTAATGTAAATATATGTCGGTAAATTTATTAAACTTAAGCTTTTAATGTAAACATTATACTTAAAAAATGTTTAAATTTAAGTATTTGTCCACTTATTATACATAATTGTATTCTGACTTTTTATTGTTAACACAAATTAAAATACATACATAAAAACATATACTTTAATTAATTAAATTACCATATTGAAAAAAATGACTGATTATTTAAATTACATATAACTTTTATTCTTGATTTTATCCATTTTGTTAATAATAGGAAGTATCAAAACAAAGATATTTTTTAAACTAATTTTATGTTTTATAAAATAAATCATTGCTTCAATTTATTTATTACAATTTATTCCACTTATATTCTTAAAACAAATTTGATATATCAATCACTTATAATTACTCATGCAGTCTTGAATAAGTTATTTTAATCAATTCTAAGCAATTTATAATTTATATTATTACAGATAAAAATCGTAAATTAATTACACGATATATAAGCTATATAAAAATAAAAATATAGTAGCAGATAAGTTATTTTTATAAAAAATTGGTCAATTACTTTGCATCATTTTACATCATTTTACATCATTTCACATACTATTAGTTTTATTTTTATAATAGATGATCAGTATTCGTTATTTATTGAATTGAAAATAGGCAATTAATATTGTATAAGTAAAATTTATCAAGTCACGTACGAAGTTTTACATTTGAAAAAGAAATAAATTACATTATTAAAATTAATTATTAAAATAGATATTTGTTTAGATGTAATATAAATAAAATGCAGTTTCCTATTTTATCAACACCCTTAATCATGACATGAAACATTTCATACATTTCTTAGATTTTTAATGTTAAAAGTAGACTATCAATTTTATTTTACTTTATTATAATTAATTAAAAATTAAATAAGTTTTAAATTATATAATGCCAATGCATTGCATACATAAATTGTACAAATTTTCAAATTTACACAATTGTTTTTCATTAAATAATTTTAAAAACAATTTTTAAAAAAATCATCGTTTTAGTACACATTAAGAATAAATTTAGGCATAATGAAGAAACTTTGAATTTTACATTAAATATTAGTAAAATATTTTTAAAGTTTATTTGAATTGGATAGCAAATTTTCATATAACCTTAAAATTATATGATTTTTATAAAATCGAATTTTTAATTAATCTTAAATACTTACACTTGAGAGGAATTAAATTAAATCTTCATATTTATAATTTAATAATTAATAAGAATTTGAAATATTGAAGAAGTAAATTAAAATTAATTCACAAGTATATCAAAGTTTAAATATAGATATTAAAAGTAAATATTTGACAGGAGCTTCTTAAACATTTTTTAGTATTACTGGAGCTATTCTTTATAATCGAATTTCAATTCTTTCATATGATTTCTTGTATGTTTATCAATTTCAGCTATACTAGTAAAGTTTTGACTGCAAACTCTACAATTAAATATGACTGGTCTGAGGTGTCCAACAGCAGATACCGCTGGCATTAATGTAGTTACTGTCTGGTCAGCATTCTGTGTTATGGATGACATTTCAACGTGTGAATTTAAGTGCTTCCTGTAAAAATTTTCTATATTAAAATATTACATATTATGAGTATTTGCATTTCAATCGAATTTTAATTTATTATATGAAATTTTTATTTATACTAATAATCTAAAAATATTTGATCCGTCATAATTATTGGTTGATATTCAGCATTAAGTAAAGATATTCGATGATTGAAAATTTTATGACAAATCAAAAAGAGCTAAATAAAATCGTAAAAATAGATTTTTAATATATTTGTGTGGAAATAAATTTTTTTATATATGATATTCATATTTCACACAAATATTAAATTTGAATTTAAAACAATACCTGTATATAGATTTATTCCTAAATGTCATATTACAAGTTTTGCAATATTGAATTCTGTTTTTTCCAGTTAAATCATTATACTTGTCTAATGTTACATGATTATGAGTACTTATAGCTTCTTTTGTTTCAAACAGCAAATCGCAAACATGGCATTTATAAGGAAATTGTGTTATTTTACTTTCATGTAGTTTGCGATGTTTGTAATATAACTTTTTGGATGAGAATTCTGATTTACATATATCACAGGTTAAATGTTCTTTTAGGTGTATATAAAGTTCTGATATAACTGTAAACGTTCTTTTGCATATTACGCATTGATGAGAAACTTCATTTAACTCTTCTTCTATTTTTAGAGGTTTCTTAAAATTGATTTTCATTTGATTAATTTTTTTAGACTTTGGACAAGGGCGTAAGTAAATTTTATCAATTTGAACTGTTAGACGGTACGAGTCGTGTTGCCGTGTGGTGTCATAGATATGATTTTTATTGTTGTTATCCAAACTTTCTTTCTGAAACGTAACCAATACATATAAAAACAAGTAAATAAAAATAATTATGAGTATTTTTCAATTTGTGCTCTAGATAATATATTAGTTTTTACACATCAAAATGCTAAAATTTTGTTTATATACAAGAAATACTACTATAATTTTTAATTTTTACTATATTAACTTTTACCATATAAATTATATAATTATATAATAAATTCTAATTTATTTTATTATTTAAGTTGTAATCTTATAGTGAAATGATATTAAATTTTATAAGAAAACATTATATATAAATAGTTTATATTTTATCTATATTTTAAATTATTATTAATATTATAAAAATTTATAAATATATAATTACGTTTTTAATATTAAATTAAAATTCTAAATAAGATGAAACTTACTATATTTTCTGAAGAAATTTCTGGTAATTTGTGATTTTCATCTTTAATAGATTCAAGTTCAGCATATTCTGCTGTCCTCTTCATTTCTATAAAACAATTATATTAAAAACATATTTCTATATGAAAATTATATTGAACTAAAGTAGCTAATATAACTTTTAAGTAATTCGTAATATATAGTATTTTAAATTGTTAAATCGTAAATTTAAATAAAAATAAATTCCATACATCATTTGATTAATTTTTTAAATATTTACTTATCTACACAAATTCGTCTACATACTGAGCATATATGAATATGCACTCAGGTATATTTATAAAACACATATATGCATGAGTGTATAAATAAATAAATACATTAATTAATTAATTAATTAATTAATTAATTAATTAAAATAAATAAATAAATATATATGTAAATATTCATATTTATACATAAATTATAAGTTAAATATTTGTAGAATATAACCTTAATGGATCAGAAACTAAATAAATTATGACTAATATCTACAAGATATTTTTTAAATTAAAGGTACTTAATGTCGTTTAAATATTTACTATTATTTTTAGGAACTGCATCAGGTTTAAGCTGATTTCCAGAATTAAAACAATTTTTGTCAAAATGAAGTTCACAGAGTAATCGTAGGTTTTGATTTTTGTCTTTCCCATCAAATATTTTACATATACTTTCCCATTGTTGCTGTAACCTTAAAAGTTCAATGGTCAGATCATTTGGTTTTGAAATATAATATTTTATTATTTGAAAGAGTAAAACAATCTAAACGCTATTGAAAATTTTATAACATTAAATAATGCATGAAAATTGAATTAGCATGATCCAGAGTTTAAGTTGGTATCATAAAGATATAGGTTAAGTTCTCATACTGTTACATAATGTATAAAACTAAAATTACAAAAAAAGTTTTGTATGAAAGCTTGTAAAATACATACTTCTTATCCGATGGGAATCGATAAAATTTGATTTTGTCACCGTTAACTGTTGTATTTTCATCAGATTCACAAACGCGGGCACAACAACGGAGAGTCATACTTCCGTTATTTTCAAAAAAACTTTTTTACAGACTAACGTACATTTGAAAATTCATAATTTATGAATCGGCAATTAATATTTTTTCGTACAAATGAAAATATATATATTTATTTATAACTACTCAAGCATTGAGCGCCAGAATGCCGCAAAGTCGGTATAATAAATCTATAAACAGAGATGTCTCTGCTGTAAATATAATTGTAGAGGTACTGCCGCATATCCCATCCATTTTATCGATGGGCCCACACAACACACGCTTTCTGCCTCTTGTCTTTCTTACTCCTCTCTAAAACCCCCCCCCCCCCCCCCCCCCACGCACAAATGTAATTGGCTCCGCATAGTTACAATCTTTATTTACTTTTATAGGTCAGTGTATGTGAACTGCGAACAATGTTTATTTAATCTTTATTAGTTTGAGTTGGTTTTTCTTTTCAAAACGATATATAGTTTACAGCAATATAATTTATATGCGATTCGTCGGTGTCGTAAAAGCAGTAGCAATTCAAGCATATTGATTACTCAAAGAGTTTTGCATTCTATGAAAGCTCATTGTTTATTATATTATAGCTTCCTCAAATTACGAGTAGGACAGAAAACATTTGCTTTTATACTGCGCTCGGTGACGTACGAAATCAGAAGGTAGGGAATTCATTGAAATATACGGCGGCACGGTAGGCGGACATAGGGAAATCTAGGTGCCAAACATACAATTTTACCCTTTAAGCAAACTTGTACCTACGTTCTTCACTCAAGTACTTTCGTGCCAATACAATTTCCAAGTACTCGGTTCTATTAAAGCTATCAGAATACTCACTAAACCTGAATCGTTAGTTCATCAATAATAATAGATAAAGCTTTGGAAAGTGTTGTAAGCGTAAATTAAGTAACTTGTATCTCTATACTCTATCAAGTTTTCAGAATGACCTGATACGTGTGCAATGTAAAGTGTGTAATTAACTTATTTCATGAATTGAATTTTCCATTCTCTAATATAATCTTAAATAATATTCAAATATATTTATTGACAATATATCTGGCAGAGTAGGTGAAAAGCGCACACCGATGATTCGTACTTATTGATGATACTTATCGTGAATATTTTACCTTTTACTATCTTATAATAACAATATCGATTGCTATCAAAACGAACTGTATTTTAAACAAAACTATAAATTGCTGGAGCAGCATCATCATTCGGCCGATGTATTTACGATATCCCAAGCAGTTTATACTGATATTTATCTTTCCGTAAATTAATATCTTCAATAATAGTAGTGAGTAGCTTTTCTCACTTATAATGCTATTTATACGTCGAATTGATCTACTTTCTTACACATCATCTAAAGAAGGAAAATTTTATATAAGCATCTGTAAAATTACTCGGTGTTATACAACAATACATACAATAATGTATATAATGTTAATGTTAATACCGTTTCACATATAAAATAAATAACCGTAGAAGAATGCAGTTAAAGGAATAAATTTTTTGTGATTGTGATTGCGATGATTATTAATGTTATGGCTAAAATTTGAATGTTCATTCTTAATTTTGGTATTTATTATTTCAGCATCTTAAAAATAGTGAAGTAGTAGTCCAAATGCTTAAAGTATTAAAAAAAAAGAAAATTGATTACTTCTAAACTTACGTAATAAATATATTTTTGTTAATGAAATTTTCGGAAATTTCTCTTCGTGAAAAGCGGAACTGTATATTGCAACCAATTGCAATACTTGTTGAGCCTTCGTAATAAAAATTTTTTCTAGATTATTATTTTATCAATAGTCTAACAAGTCTATATAAAAATTTTAAATGCAAATATCTAAAATATTTTTTTAAGATTATATGCTCCTTGTATTATTATATTCACATGATATTCATCATTATAATTTTATTTTTTATAATATATAATTAGATAATTGTTTGATAAATTTTTTTCTCTCAATTTAATAGCAGAGTACTTTATAAACTATCAATAAATTTGATAATAAATTTATATGCAAATACAATTTGTTTGTAGTTCAAAATTATAATATTGACTTACATAGTATTAATATTATACTTATATCGAACGAATTGTGTATTTGAATGAAAAATATCTACGGCGAAATAGTTTTCACGAAGCGTTATCAAAATATTTTATATAAAATAATAAGAATAGTAATTTTATTAATAACGACATTTTTAAATTATTATGTTAATATTTATTTTATATAGAAAGAAATTAAACCGAGTAAGATTTATATTTTTATTTATGTTCTTTTGCTGTAAAACATATGTCTATATTATTATAACATTTAATATACTTAATAAAGGTTTTAAATAATAATTTTATAATTTATTAACGAGATTAAATTATTTCCGTATAAGATGAGAAAAGATTCTTAAGTTATAATCTATATTTGCTATTTATTCAATTATTGCGTTAAAATGTGATAAATGAGATTTATGAATAGATTAGCGGTATGTAAAAATTTGATTTTTATCTATAATTATTTTTGTTAAATCTTTATTTTGTTTAAACGATCTATCACATAATTATTATGCTATATACCTCTCTACTTAAAATTTTTTTGCATAGATATTAGATTCACTAGAGACCCATAGAAAAGTACAGCTGCTTAAATATAAATAATGTTATATAATTTTTTATAAATACAATGTACTAATCTAATTATACTATTATATATTATATCAATTATATATTCCATGTCATTTTCGTAGCAAGAAGATTAATGGGCGTATTATGCATAACCCAATGACTTTTTTTTTTGACAACCAATTGCATTATATTTCATAAAGATAATTTCTTATCTAAATTTAACATTATATCCGTGTATTTTTAAATATTTTATATAATAGCAATGCACTATATATATATATATATATATATATATATATATATTTCATTGTAATAACAAAAATGATAATAATATAGAATTGTGTAAGATAACAATAAGAATTGTTCAATACATTATTAAATAAACGTGTTGTTTACATTTGTATAAATGTCATTACATTTTTTTTCTTCAAATTATATTTTTCATTAAAATAATATTTTACAATATTTAACATATTATATTTTTCATGAAATATTTTATTTGCAATTTTTCGTTAATTAATTTTTTCACATCATTGAAATAAACAAATTCTTCTCATAATATAATTATTTATCAATTACATATAAAAATAAAATTTGATTATTTCCAATATTAAAAAACTGAATTTAATGCTCGCTTTTTGTTTTTTATACATATACGTTTATATCAATGGATTTACATAAATATTTATTATAATTATCAAAATTTGTATTTCTATATTACCATTTGTACATTCTCTTAGACTTTCGTCCTTTTAAATAAATTTTCGGCAAATTTTCGCTTTGTTTCTCATCATGAGATAAACATTTGATCGCAGTTATAGCGCAACGATCAGTTTGGATCACAAAGCCTTTACGAATCCGATTTTGAGCGAGAAATTTCGATGTTGATACATTATTTCTATCAATTTTTTATATTTTGTTCATGTGAAAATTATTCGGATTTCCTATTACAGCTCCGTTTAATCAATCATTAGTTTTAAAATATTAGTTACAAATATCACTCTTGCAAATTCATATATTTTGGCTTACGGCAAACACTTCATTATTATTCCAATATGATATAATATTATATTTTTTAATGATTAAATTATAAATCCTTTAATGAATATGTTAAGTTAATTTTATCATATGTTAATATTATTATAGTATGAGTCACCTGTTAGCATCTCTAATTATAGTATGAGATTACAACACAACATTACTCAAATTATTAATATTTTACTTTTTTTTATTAATGTAGCTTTATATTTATGCAAGTAATGGCGAAATTTTACAATTGGATAAATATTTCAATTGATATATGTATTATTTGTTGGCAGCAACTTTGCAGAATGTAATTTAGAAGCGTAAATTTTAAAAATTTTGCCTTTACTTATTGTGTTAAGTACAATAAAATACGATGAAAATATTTTATCGTGAAGCTAGAATAATTTAAAAATTTGTTCAAAAAGCGATTACAGATTTGTACAAGTAAATAAATAGCGTCAATTTTTATTAAACAATCAAATTTCTATTATATTTTCTGTGCGATAATATACGGAAAAGGTTAACGAAATACTTTCTCTTTTTTTTTTTTACATTTTATACTAATAGACATTGTAATAAATTATATTTTTTTATTAGGACTGTTATTATTTTATTTTTAGCTTGAAATTTTCTTGGCGAATCAAATTTTTTATTATTTTATTACAATTTGAGTACATGTCGTACTATGAAACTTTTAAAAATTTATCGTTGAAATTAATATATTAAAAGATTATTATTTACATAAAAATAGTTTTAGAATTCTTATAGATAATAATATTTCGAATAGTAGATGATTAAAATCTTTCTACCATTTCATCCATTAATTTCATTTTAATTTTTTTTTTTTCAACTTAAATTCAATGAATTTCAATTTCATTAATTCTTGTAAGTTGTTCATATCATTTTAAATTAAGTCTTTTTATAATATTAATTCAATGACTCTTGAATCATTATTTTATGAAAATTATATAACATTACTGTCTATTAAAAAAATCATTCAAGCTTATTTATAAAATTTTTAATTTTATGACAGAATTGTGGTATGATAAAACATACTTATTAAACTGTATGGAATCAATAGTATATAATCAGTTATTAAATAAGTTTTCCTTGGCACATATACAAATTCTATTATAAAGCCGCATAATAGTTTTGGAATAATTTTTACTATCTTTTGTAATATTTAATATATTAATTGTATTTTGTTTCGAAATTATAGGTAATAAAAATTATAACAGCTAGTTTGACTTTGGCTGTTTGGCAGGATGTTTGATGAGCATGATGTTACATCGATTAATTAAATTAAATTCTGAATGATTAAGCGAAAATTGTCAGGTATTAATTTAGATAAAATATTCAGAGGATTTGAAGATAAAGTCGTAAGAGAAAATAATTTTACGCATTTAACGAAATAGCATATAAATATAATAAAGCAAGAGATAAAAATATATCTCAAAACAAAAGAATGGTTAAATTAGGGATTACCAATGAAAAATCTAAATATTATTTACAACAGTCAGAGTAAGAAACTTACTTAGATGAAAAATTT